ACTGCTAAGGGCAATAAATTAAATAAATGTAAGATAAAAGGTTATTTAGGTGAACTTTTCAAATAAGTTTCCCAAATCTTTCCGGCAACCTGAAACTTCAGAATTTTGCTAAGTTAAGTTAAATGATAGAAACTTATTGAATATATGGATCATTCCCTAGTAAAATATTGAATATTAATTATTGATCATAGGTTTATCTGCTTTTGAATTCCCACTGCAGAGAAACCAAGTGGATCTGTCAGTAAACATGTTTTAAGCCACACCAAAAAGCATGTTTCTATAAACTATTAAAAGTATTTATAAATTTGCCAAGCCACAGAATGCTAATATTAAAGACAGTTCATAATTACTTGCTTCTTAGTTTTCACTAGAAATTAAAGATTTCTCAGGGCTAAAAATTCTAACATATGTTATTGAAACTACTAGAAATAATAAGGGAAACAACTCTGTATGCAAGGAAAGAAGGATGTGTTTTGGGTAAGAAAAGGACTGAAGAATAAAGATGCATTTCTGTTAAGGGGAGTGAGAGTAATTTTGTCTAAACTAGAACTTCTGCTTATGAAGGACAAATTTACCTTCTGTAGTCAAGTGGTTTAAAATTTGGATTGCTACCAGAAGGGTTCTGGAAATAGGCTTCAGTATTAAAGCTTAATTTTCTTTCATCTGCTGAAAGAACAAGTTTTCTGGGATTGTTGATCTGCTCCTGATAAGATTGTAAAAGCTTTTTCTTTCAAAGTAATTTGCCTAGAAAGCAAAGGTTTTGTGTTTCATCACAGTGATCTCTTGTGCTCTTTGTCATCAGGTCCTTGGTTACTCAGGAAAACTGAGTCTTCTGAATATTAAAAGAGCTAAAGTTTTGCTAACACCTGTATAACCTTCTATATTTTCCTGTTAAATTATTTTTGTCACTTTGGTTAAACAGATAACTAAGTAATGTTTCACAGTAACCTGTGATCCTATCTAGGCAGTGTTTTTAAACCTTTTTTTTTTTTTCATATTTTTAACAAGCTTCCCCAAATCAAATTCTAAATGAAGTCTTTTTGACCTGGAAGAAACTTTGGGATTTTCCCACAGGGCTCCTGGAACTTACCAAAGTATTTGTTAAACTAATTAGGCTTATTTGATATGTTAAATTACATGAGAAGCACTGTCAAACAAGAAATAGTACTAAACCTTTTTTTAAAAAAAATATTTATTTGGCTGCGCCAGGTCTTAATTGCGGCATTAGGGATCTTCATTGCCGTGCGTGGGCTCTTCGTCGTGGCATGCGGGATCTTTAGTTGCGGCATGCAGGCTCTTAGTTGTGGCACGCTGGCTCTTAGGTGCGGCATGCGGGATCTAGTTCCCTGACCAGGGATCAAACCCTGGCCCCCTGCATTGGGAGTGCAGAGTCTTAACTGCTGGACCACCAGGGAAGTCCCCACTAAGCTTCTTTTATGTTGTGTTTGTACAAGTATGTGTTCCAGAAATTGTGTGAAATTCCTAGAAATCTGATAGGACCTGGTACAATGATTATCACTTGTAATTCTAGTTATTATCTTAAAATGTATGACATCCTCTGGGACCCCAATAGAAAATGCACAACAAGTAAACGATCTTCTTACTGCTATTCTCTTACTTTCTGAAATTGCTGTCATCAAAATTAAGACTCACACTAAAAGGACTGAACCTGAGTACCAGGGAAATGTCCTGGATGACTGTCATGCAAAGGCAACAGCAACAGAATCTATAAAGATGTAACACATGTGGATGCAATCCGTTCTGCTTCTGCAAAAAATCATCCCTCACTGCCAGACTTCTGCCATCCTGATGTCCTTGTAAAATGGCAACGGTCTGCTCCTAAATCAGAGAAATTAAGGTGGGTAAACAATGGCTGTAAACTATATGGTCAGGGCTCTTGGAAACCCAAGACGGCTGCCTGGTTCTTCCTGGAACCCTGGCAAATCCCTTGTTTTGTTTCTTGTGTTTACATTCCTTCATCCACCGTAGTACACTTAAGATGACTCAAATTTTGAATCACCATTGGTGGGGAGACGTCTACAAAACTGCAAAAACAGACTACCAACGATTCTGATCTGCCAGGTCCATAATCCTGGAAAAAAATATTCTTGCTCCTGGAGCCCTGAGACCCTGCAGCTGGACTTCATTCAACTGCCACTTGGCCTGGCTCCACCCTAGAAGTAATTTCAGTGGAATCCCAAATGCCACTGGGTGTTTAAATTGTTCCAAGGGCCCGTTTTATAAAGTGTGGGTACTAAGCCCACCTAACCTTGTTCTTTGCTCCAATCTAACCCGACCCTGGGATGGGAAAATGAGGTCTCTCGAGTATCTATATAAGAAACTCTGTGGGACAGCCAATGTAATCAGGCCATTTGTAAGCTTACTGACATACCCATGTATTTAGACAGCCTTTCAATATATAATAATACAGTATATGAGCCTTGGTTGAATGATGCTAATGCCTCCGTAACAACGAACAGGTCCATAGATACTGTCACTTATGCACACCTCCTGGCTACATCTTTGTATGTGAAGGTTTTGGTTTAGAACCATCTTTATGGTTCTGTGTAAAGATGGCTTTGTTGTTTTAAATTCTGCTCTGCATACTTGTTTTCTACCTCCTGTTTGTTGGACCTTAGTGAAAATGATGTGCTTAATGAGGTGATGCTAGCTCAGCACTCTGAGATGATTTCCAACGCTTACAACCTTGACAAAATACAGACTTGGGATAAGAAATGCCTGCAAATTCTCCCTACTACTGTCTCTTGTTACTCAAATGTGGCCTCAGGCAGTTTCTGGTCGGTGCACTTTCCCTCCAGTGTGGGACATGACATCCAGAAAAGGTCTTTCCTGGCACCAAGGAGCGAAGGCTGAATTTGGAAAGCCTGTCTCTGGATCAGCGATGCTTTTGGAGATCTTGATCAAAAAGCGGTAACTGAAAATTAATAAAAGGAAACCTCAACTAAAACTGGAGTTGGGAGGGCCTGGAGAGGGAGCTCCTATGCCCTCTGGTAACTGACTCTGGTCAATTACCCCAAAGTGTCAATCAAAGACCCCAATGAGAAGCCACTGTCACTTGAACTGACTTTCCTCCAATGAACTTTCATTTTTTTCGATGATTTCCTTGTCCCACCCTCCTTTCTACAAATGCCTTCCACTTTGTACAACCCCTCAGAGTATGTCTCTGCTAGATGAGATGCTGCTTGACTCATGAATCTTTTAATGATGCCAATTAGATCTTCATTTACTCAAATGAACTTTTTAACACCTTTTACACATCTCTGCATACCCAGTGACCCAGTGCTATAATCACAGCAAATCTGAAAACACGTGAAAAAAAGTTACAACTACACAGCTAAAAGTTCATCAAAATTAACCTTGTTTCTAAAAAATCAGTAATCGAATTTGTATTTCTTTTTCGGGGGCGGGGGTGTTCATAGACCATTTAAGATGCTGCTCTGTGTTCTGTTTAAAGTGTCACTACACTTCCAAGGTTCAATATAATTTCTTAAAAAATTAGTTTGCTTTTCAATTATTTGTGGTACCTCAGAGCTTTCTGCTTCCTCCCTACTCACAGCACTGCACTAGGAGATCCGTGTTAAAACCTCACTGATAAACATTCTTCTCTCTTCTTCTTTGGATAAAGGGAATCCGTTGGAACGCTTAGTGGAGGACTCCGAAGTTACCAGAGGGAAAACTGCAAATGCATCTTCGTGCTGATTTTGCACAATGTGGGATCATAAACCCTTCTTTTCAGACATGAGCAAACTCAGGCCCAGAGGGGAAGCAATCTTCTCAGGCAAGATTCCAAATCCCTGCCCTCCTAAGAAACGTGTTAGACCCACATTGGTTGTCATGGCAACCGCGGGCCGCCCCAAGCCAAGAGCAGCCTGAAGGGCGTCCGAACAGGGCCCAGAAGGACCAGGCACCAAGCGAAGCTTCAACAATCGTTTATTACCAAACTCTCGCAGGGTTAACCCTTTAACCCAACAGCAAAACAGCGCTCTAACGGCACCTAGGATGGAGGTGCACACCTAATAAAGACTGCCTCTTAAAAAAAGGATTAAAAAAAAAAAATATATATATATATATATATATATACACATCTGCGTTAAGTATCTTTTTTAAAAAAGCAAAATTCACCAGTGTTGCTGAAAAAAAATCCCAGAGTGATTTCAGTCTAACCGCACCCCTACCCCCCACACAGGAAAAAACATTGGCAGTGTATGCTGGCCGAAACCCCACACAAGATGCAGCTTGTGTGCTGCATCTTTCCTCTTAAAAAAAACCAACAAAAACTTTTCTCCTCCTTTCTGTTCAACCTCCATAGCCTATTCCTAGACACACCCAAAGAATTACATAACTAATTGCATAGACTAGACCCAGTTCACTTTCCCCAGCCTTCAGAAGTGAAAGTTCACACCAAGGATGGTCCTTAGCAATTTTCGCCAGTACTACAGTTAGGAACTCGATCCCTAATTTCTGCGAACTTGCAAAGACCTCAGGCTTCCTGAGGGCTCCATGAAAGATCACGGGCCAGTGTACCCTGACCAAGACTGGAATGCCAGGCTGGGTAAAGAAAGGAGGCCTTTCCAAATAAAAACACCCAACACCACAAAACCTAAAGTCTAACCTGCCAGGTAAATACAAGTAGCAGCTGGCTGTACCAAAAAGGTGCTTATCTCCTGCCTGCTTGAAAGTAATAACAAAGGGGAACAGAGTCCAGAGTATTTGACCTCATCTCCCCTCCAAGAACCCTGACCCACAGGCAGCATATTCCAGGCCAGAGGTCCCAGTGTGATTTTTGTGCTTCTGGCCGGGTAAAGCTGCTCCCAGGCTGCCTGGCTCACTGCTGCTCCACAGAAAATGTGTGCCCTTGTGCAGGGTGCTGAAGAATTAGGAGGGAAATTGTTTTTTGACTTTGACTTCGTAAATGACAGATACTTCAATCACAGCTTCTAGAAAACCACTCAAAGACCCCTGACCCCCAAGGGTCAAGGTCACAGATCCTTCCAGTTGATGGGCTCTTTGCCGGACTTCTGCAGCAGCTCATTGGTTTTAGAGAAATGCCTGCATCCGAAGAACCCCCTGTACACTGAAAACGGCGAGGGATGCGCGGTCTGCAGCACGTGATGCCGCTTCTGAAAGAGGAGGAGACGGGGAGTGAGGTTGTGGGGACACTCTCAGGACTTTTAAAAATAACCACTCTGGCTGTGGCGCCTTCTGTCAGCTCTGCCGCTCCCCTGTGACTGCTCTAAATTCGCCCACTTTCCTCACGGCGTTGGTTTACTTGCAGCGTCCACACAGGTCCGTGCGTTCATCCTCCATTGGTTGGTAGAGCCACTACCTGGGCTAGGCCCTAAGGATGCAGAGCACCCGTCTCTGCCCTCCACTGGGCACTCTCAATAGGACTCGTAGGTGCCCTTGTCCTATGACCCAGCAGTCCCACTGCTGAGTGGGACTGCTAGGTCTCCCACTGCTGAGACTGTTATTTGGTAAAGGACGCCGTGATGCACACATCTCCATAAAGACGCAGGCATGAGGAGGTTCACGGCTCCTATCAGGTAAAACCTACTATAAATCCAGTGTTATGCAACAGATTACAAACATTTTTCTAAAGTTCTGGCAACGCAACACCACACAGCTACTAGAAGAACAAGATCAAGCTACATATGCTGACACAGGGAGACCTCTAAAATATGTCAAGTGGGGGAAAAAAAAAAGAAAAAGTGATAAATGCATTAAATTAAAAAAAATTCTTTGGTAGGGGGGATAAGACCCAAGACACTATTTATAGTAGTTCCTTTAGGTGAAAGATTGTACCTTTCTATGCTGTTTGCATTATCTCACCACCAAAATAGAATACTTAAAATTTTTTAAAATGTCAACTGTAGTTAACTTAGCAGGAAGATTCTGGACCATTTTTGTTTTCTTCTTTATTCTTTCCTGTATTTAAATAAAAATCATCCAACAGGGCTTCCCTGGTGGTGCAGTGGTTAAGAATCTGCCTGCCAATGCAGGGGACACGGGTTCAAGCCCTGGTCCGGGAAGATCCCACATGCCATGGAGCAGCTAAGCCTGAGCACCACAACTACTGAGCCTGCGCTCTAGAGCCCACAAGCCACAACTAGAGAAAACCCGCACGCAGCAATGAAGACCCAACGCAGCCAAAAATAAACAAAAATTAAAAAAAAAAAAAATCACCCAACAAATAATCGCCTTTCAAGATACCCCTGCCTTCAAGGAGCTGGGTTGAGGAGGGACCATCAGTGAAGCGGGGCAGCCCAGTGTGGGTCAGGGCATGGAACCTGGGTTCCTTCAGGTCCTGGCTCTGCCACTCAACAGTGGCACAGCCCCAGGGAAGTCACTGACCCTCCCTAGGCCACAGGTCACTTTTCACCTGTGGACTGGAAGTTAACAGCAGCGCCAGCTCAGGAAGATCCCGTGAAGAACAAAAGATGGGTCTTGCGCACAAAGCATCCCGGGAAGAATGCAGGCCGGGTGCTCAGCACAGGGTACAGCATGTGGGGCAGGCCCCTGAACACGAGAGCTGTGTGCATTATAAAGGACCAGTCAGCCAGCCTCCAGGGAAGGAAAAGACCTCTACATGTTGGACACAGGAAGCAGGACGTTCAAAGGCAGGCAGGGGAGTAGGGGGCGGGGAGAAGTCCAGGTGGTTCAGGGGGCCTGGAGTTCACAGAGGGTGAGAGGCAGGCCGGGGCCGTGCCCAGACTCCAGCTCATGAGCCTAGGTCGAGGCCTTCCAAGGAGAAGGCGTCTGAACGCTCTGCTCTGGGCAAGATGAGATGGGGCTGACCTGAGGCTAAGTTGGGCAGGTGGTGGTGGGGGGGGCTGAGAGAAGAAAGTCTGTGTATGACTGGTTGCAGGAGGTGGGGATAGATACAAAGGGTGGAGAGGGGGAAGGAGAGGGGGAAAGAAAGGGAGGGGTTAAGAATGATATGCGATTTCTGGTTGGGCAACTGAGTAGACAGCGGTCCTTTTTATCCTTGGGCATCCAGAGGCCCAAGTTTAGTGAGGGATGGACGAGGAAAGGAGAATTGGAAAATGTTGCATTTGATGTGCTTCCAGGTCCCTAGTAAGGAAGCACCTGAATATATAGGTCTAGTGCTCAGGAGACACCCCGGGTTACAGATGTGCAACTTGGTTTTTAATGGTCAATCTACTAGTTTTTTTTTTTTTTTGGTTGCGCCATACAACCAAAGGATCCAACAGGATCCCAGTTCTCCAACCAGGGACCGAACCCAGGCCCTCTGCAATGGAAGCGCGGAGTCTCAACCGCTGGACCGCCAGGGAAGTCTGGTTTTTAATGGTCAAGCTACTTTAACAACTGTTTACTTTCAAACTGAACCATTATTAAGATTACAGATATACTGAGTAAGGGCGCTTCTGACCACAAACCTTCCTAAGACACAGACTGGAAATCACTCCCACACACACTTCATTACCGAGATAATCAGATCTTAGCAGTTAGTTGGTTCATGCCAGGTTTTATTCCTACTATTCCCTTCCCGAAAAGAAAAACAGATGAAAACATCCTGTTCATTCACACAGAACCTTTATAGAGAAAGCAGCTCTTCCATCTGACCTACATGCCCCCTTGCTGCTTGCATCCATGTGTATAAAGACACTGGATGGGGCTTCCCTGGTGGCGCAGTGGTTGAGAGTCCGCCTGCCGATGCAGGGGACA